TGTGACATAATTTATTTAATTCTTTATTTTTTTGGTATATTATCTATCTATGAAAATTCTATTTCTGCTTATTTAATTAGGAGTGCAAAATACTTGGAATATTTAGATGAAGTCAAGCTCCTGTGGCCTCAATTCTTTCTGAATATTTAGTCTTGCTCTATAAATAAGAGGCATCTCTACGATATTAAAATTAATGTAATAATAGTATTGCTTTATAACATCATTTTGATTTCTTGTGAAAAAATATGAGTAAACTAAACTTAAATTAATGTAATAATAGTATTACTTTATAACATCATTTTGATTTCTTGTGAAAAAATATGAGTAAACTAAACTTAGCTCTCCCATGATGTTTGATTCAATTACAACATTTGTCAAATTTTTTTTTTTTTTTTTTTTTTTTTTCAAAAATCTTTTGTGTCATATTTGATTACTTTTAAAACTGATTTTACCCATTTATATAATTACAAAAAGTAAAATATCTGACTATGTCAAGTTTGCTCGCATTAAAAAATATATATATATTTTTTCTTCCTTTGCCACCGCACCTCCCACCACACCATATATATATATATTAAAAAATATGTATATTTTATATATAAAAAGTATTTTAATATATATATATATATATATATATTAATATTTTAATATATATATAAAAAATATATATATATATCTATATATTTTTATGCTTCCACCACACCATAGGAACCAATCTCTTCAAACCCACCACCCTTTCTTGTTGTCGATCACTGTCACCTTCTTTCCCTCGTGGTACGAAAACCAATCAATCTCAAAATTAGGGTTTTGATTTGCAGCTTCAATCTAAAGATTGTTAGGCAAAATGATGCAAGCAGAATTTGAATTTCAAATTTCTGCAAGTTGAATTTATGTTTTTCATAAACTTTTCATATTTTGAAAGTTTTCTGATTTTTAAGTAGGTTTTTTTTTTTTTTTTTAAGCACCATCCTTATTTTGATTTTATTGTATATTTGGGAGTTACAAGGCTAGGATTGGAGAGAAATAAACTCTATATATAATGTCTTGTAATTGCTAGGGTTTGCTGTTTTAATAGAAGAGATTTTTTATTTTTTTTACAGCAAATAAAGTTTGATTTGCAATTCTCATTTTTCTTGCCTTGTTCTTTTATTTTGTTTCAAAATTGATGTAAAGGCAATTTGATTGTCTCATCTTGGTAAGAGCATCTCCAATGTAAAATGTTATTTTTGTATGCCAAATCTCTATTTTCAGAGGAGGTATAGTGTCAAAATGCTATATTTTAGCAATTCTACTCCAATTATGCATTTCATCCGAAATGCTATTTTTTGACACAACAATTATTCTTTTTTAACTACCATTACCAACAACCATTTTCATATTAAGCATGTTTGCCTTGTTAAAAAAAATAATTTAAAAAAAAAAAATTGAATCATCAAATCTAGCTATCAAAACAGCAAACATAACTTAGAAAACAGCATTGTTGCAATCATATGGTAGTCAACATAAACAAATAAATGAAGATTGAGCAATCATATGGATAGGTTAACAGCATTGTTGCAATCATATGGTAGTCAACATAAACAAATAAATGAAGATTGAGCAATCATATGGATAGGTAAAAATAACAGTAGAAACCTTAATAACTCCTAGTCATATTACTGAGAGCAAAGAATAAGAAGCAAAACAAATCCAGAAAAGTGCTCTAAATATTGCTCAGGTTTTTGTTCCACCACGGAACTGCAAACAAAAACTAAGTTGCAGCTTCACCCTTGGTGTGGAGTGATGAGATATGTTGTGATTATAGTCCTATAGGGTCTTTTTGTTTTATTAATTTAATTAAAATAATAAATTTACCGAAAAATATACTACTATTATATCAGTGTAATGCCACTATTTTATTGTTACACATTCCCTCAAAGTAACAATAAGCATAATAAACCAACAAATGTCATTGAATAAAAATGGTAACAGTAGCCAGTTATTTGATAACTAGATTCAATACTTAATTTTGAATTAATTAAATAATTATTGAATTAAATGTGCTCCTAATATCACTAAATTACGAGGAAGAGAAGTTTCATAGGACCTGCTATCTATCACAATTGCTTTACAGATGTGGACTCAAAATTTGGCAGCTGCTATATTTGAAAGGAGATTTGAGAATCTCAAAATTTGAGAGTCCATTTGAGAGTCCATTGGAGAACCCATTTCTTATCCACCTGAGAATGAGAGTTCATATGAGAGCCCGTTGGAGTTGCTTTACGGCGGCATTAGTTTGGTATCAAAGCTTAGGTTTTGGCTTTTTGATTGCTCAATCATGCCTCCACGACTACTACCGAGAGGAGGAAATTGTAATATGCAGGTTCTGACTGAACCCTAACCCAAGCAACACGAAAGCAAGATAGAGTTTTTCCAGAGAAAAATTGAGTTGTTGACTCAACTATTGGATCAACGCATTGTCAACCCGCCGGTGGATAACAATGTTTCGGTGGAAAAGGATGCGTCAGACATCAAGATTCGAGATTATAACAAAAAATTCGATCTTTTTTTTTTGCGTCGCCATAGATCATTCGACAAGCGGACTGATCGTTGTTAGCCTACAGATTTCAATTTTCAGATTTTTGTTTTTCATGAGGATAATCTTGAAGAGGAATTTGTTAATCCTTTTTGCAGCAATACAACACCTATTTTATTTGATGAAAGGTGTTGGGATGGCAACTTTGAGGAGGAAATTCTTGAATTTGCTGGATATCTTAGTGGAGAAGAAGAAGAAGAGGAAGTTACTATTGAATCATTTGTTCACTGGGTAAGCCTCCTATTTTTTATGAAGAACGGCACATTGAATCATATGAGTCAAGAATATCTATGTATTGGGATGAATTAGTGATCTTTGATAAGGAAGTTACAAAAAAAGAATCTCAAATTGAAGGAGATGTGGTTGATGATGAAGCTTTTGGATCCATGGGGATGAAAAAATAATGAATTTCACTTTTATGACATAATTTGGGATGAATTCTTGGAGCGCACTATAGTCAACGAATGATTCTATAGTAGCTTCAGTTTGGAGTTTTAGTTGAAGCAGCAAATAAAGTTTGCTTTGCAATTTATCATTTTCTTTTGCTTTTATTCTTTATTTTGTTTCAATATTATTGTGAAGACGATTTAAATATATCTCTTGGTAAGGCGGCATCAGTTTGGTATCAGAGCATAGGTTTTGGCTTTCCAACTGTTCAATCATGCCTCCACGACATCTATCGAGAGGAGAAAATCGTAGGATGCAGGATTCGACTACTGAACCCTTACTCAAGCAACATGAAAGCGAAATAGAGTTTTTGCGGAGACAAGTTGAGTTGTTGACTCAACTATTAGGTCAACGAGTTGTCAACCCGCCGATTGATAACAATGTTTTGATGGATAAGGATGTGTCAAACATCGAGGCTATTGCAAAAAAATTGTTCTATTTTTCGTGTCGCTATAAATCACTCGACAAGCGGACTGATCGTTGTTGGCCGACATATATCAATTTTTAGATTTATGTTTTTCATGATGATAATCTTAAAAAGGATTTTGTTAATCCTTTTTGCAACAATGAGATGGCGACTTTGAGGAGGAAATTCCTAAATTTGCAGGATATCTTAGTGGAAAAGAAAAATAACCACAAGAAGAAGAGGAACCTATTATAGAATCATTTGTTGATTCGAGTAAGCTTCCAATTTTTTATGAAGAACCGCACATTGAATCATATGAGTCAAGAATATCTATGGATTGGGATGATTTAGTGATCTTTGATAAGGAAGTTACAAATTAAAGGATACGTGGTTGATGATGAAACTTTTGGATCCATCGGGATGAAAAATAATGAATTTCAATTTTATGACATAATTTGGAATTAATTCTTGGAATGCAATACAAATGCTAGGCAATTGTTGAAAGAAAAATTAAAGTTAATTACGATTGTACCAAACCGGTCTAGTGCATCCCTGAGAAGGAAGTCCATCAATTCCATTTTTTCGTATTTAATTGCGATTAAAAAGTACGTTTGCACAATCATTTTTATAATTAAACACAAAAAATGTATTAAGGGACTTCCTCTGCATGGTAAAAATAATAATGAGCTGCCAAAACACACAAGACATTGAAAAATAAACTCGTTGCAATTCTCTCTCTATTCAGCCCAATGCCAGCAAGTAATGATCAGCAGTAGTTCATATAGTTTCACACATTCTCTCTGTCTCTCCAAGGTATGCACATTTCTGTGGAGTATTGTAGTGAGTTGATAGATTCTAAAAGGATAAATAGTTATAGTGAGTAGAAAAGATTAGAATAGTAGAGAATTTTGTAAATTAGCAAAAATTTAAAATAAACGAATATATATTATAGAATTGGATCCCTTGTCAAACCAATGTGGTAGTTAATATAAAATTAATGTAAATAGCTATAAATGTTTATTAATTGAAGTTTTATGTCAAGAGCAACTTCAGTAGTGTGTTAAAAAATTCTGTTTTAATCTTTTCTTTTCTACATGATGCGGGTTGGTCGTTATTAATAAATTTTTATTTATGATATAGTATTAATTAAGACCAAAAACTCTCTTGAACGGGATGTTCTGTCCTCTCTTTAATTTGAGGTCCAATATTGTACTGATTAATAATGCCATAACCAAAAATTTCATAGAATATGATTTTTAACAAAAATGAAAATTATTGATAAAGTATTATATCTTTATATCTCCCTTGGAATATTCAAACTTCTTTTGCTCTCTTTCCCCATTCATGTGTTCAATAAACTGGACTCATAATCATTAGTCCTACATTATGAATTTATGATACAAACTGTAGTGATCGATTCATAAAAGGGTTCGGTTCTGAACCATAGAGACGTACTTGAAAAAATTAGAACCGGAACTATAGAGCCGAATTAAGACAATCATCACTGTAAAATTGCACCTCAAAAAGAGTGCCATCTAGCAAATTTCTTAGAAAATTAATTGACAGATGAACTGAGAAAATGAACAGCTCCATTTGGAATTTTAAAATTAAATCATTCCCAATTGTTTCATTGTAAACAATCAAAATGGTAACCCATTACTCTCATGAGGATTATTCTCTCTCATTAAGAATGACATATAGAGACAAATCACAATATTCACTTCCCCTTCAAGGCTTCACCCTCACCACCCCTTAAGCCAAAAAACAAATTATATCAATTTTCTTTAATCAGAAAATAAAAAAAAATAGAACCCAAAAATAAAAATAAAAACACATTAAAGCGCAACCAAGGGTAGAGAGACAGAAGTGATAACATCCAGATTGGCATTTTAAGCTTGAGCCTTGTCCCACTTGAGCGGCTTGACAATTTCCCATGTGAAGTCGGGGTCATCCCTGCCAAAATGCCCATAGGCTGCAGTCTTCAAGAACCTGCCATTCCCACCCCTCTTGAGATCGAGGTTGATGGCGATCATCCCGGGCCTAAAATCGAAGTTCTCCTTCACAATCTTGAGAATCTCTTTGTCGGGAATCTCTCCAGTCTTGTATGTGTCTACGAAAACAGACAATGGCTCCGGAACACCAATGGCGTAAGAAACCTGGACAATGCACCTCCGAGCAAGGCCATTCGCTACAATGCTCTTTGCAGCCTGCCTGACAATGTAAGCTCCGCTCCTATCCACCTTTGTGGGGTCTTTACCTGAGAAGGCACCACCACCATGAGCACCCCACCCACCATAAGTATCGATGATGATCTTGCGGCCAGTTAGACCAGCATCACCGTGAGGTCCACCAATGACAAAGCGACCGGATGGGTTGAGATGGAAGATGGTCTTCTCATCTAGGTACTTCTCAGGAATAACATCCTTGATGACATGCTGTTTGAGATCAGCAGCAATCTCATCATTTGTGACAGTCTCGTCGTGTTGAGTGGAAATGAGGACGGTGTGGACACGAATTGGAACCATGGCACCATTGTCATTGTGGTACTCAACAGTCACTTGGGTTTTACCATCCGGTCTCAGCCACGGGCAGGTGCCGTTCTTACGGACATCAGTTAGGCGGGCACCAAGCTTGGTTGCAAGAACATGGCTGAGAGGCATCAGTTCAGTGGTCTCATCCGTGGCATAGCCAAACATATGACCCTGGTCACCAGCGCCAATCTCCTCGGGCCACTTTGTGAGATGACCATGGACACCTTGGGCAATATCAGGGCTCTGCTGCTCAATGTTGACAAGGACCTTGCAATTGTCAGCATCTAAACCCACATCATCTGAAACAAATCCAATCCCACGGCATGTGTCACGCACAATTTTCTCATAGTCTACATTGGCCTTGGTCGTGATCTCTCCAAAGACCATGACCATGTTGGTCTTGGTGCAAGTCTCGCAGGCAACCTTGCTGTCAGGATCTTGCTCTAGGCAGGCATCAAGCACTGCATCAGAGATCTGATCACACAGCTTGTCCGGGTGTCCCTCATTCACAGATTCAGAGGTGAATAAGAAAGTCTCCATTTTGTTTAAGCTGCAAAGCAAAATTAGGCAACAGATCTCTCAATTAAAGGTGCACAACAAACACAGATGAAGATTGAACATAGGCATGACTTGTGAAAATAAGGGAAATTTCAACAAAATATATTACAGTAATTTGTAGTAACATTTTTCTTCCCAAAACAATATACATCACTCGTGCGCGTCAAAATGAAGATTGAACATAGACATTTGCATAAACTAACAGCCCTAAAGTTCACAATTTTAACTAGTGCACCAAACAAAGTCATCATTGGTCCTATAGTAGTTTAAATTAAAATATATAAAAAATATTTACTTACAAAAAAAAATTGCATTAACAAGTAAACTCCACAAAGCTAATAAATAATCTTGATTCGGAATCTTTTAAGCTTTATTTTTTCAAATCCACATATATTTATATATATAACCCATATCTTTCTCCTTCTCCTTGTTTTACCATTTTGTGACACATAAATGCTCAATTAAACTAGAAAAAACCCTATAAAATTTTTGATTGTAATACATAGAAACAAATCACTGCCATACAAAAATAAAGTTTCTGAATTTAAATCTAATTTGTTAGAAACAATAGTTGCTCTGTATAGATCTACTAGGAGCAAGAGAAGCGACAATAAACAGAGCAATCTCAATACCCCATCTAAGCAAATATCAACCAATTCCATTAAAACATACAGCACTTACTAACCCATCAGACTTGCATGATTAAATTTCATTTCTGGACATCAGAAATGTAAATGCAACACTCTAATCCCAACTCCAAATGCTTAATTTGCTTTCTGAGGACAAAAATGGCTTATATTTATGCATTTGGAAGCAAAAAAACACTAAAAACAACAACTATAGAGAATAGCATAACATTTCTATTAAACCCAAAAGCACAAATCTAAGCTTCAAACATATCAAAACAAAGAAACAAATAAGAGCCCAAGAATTGAAATCAAAGAAGAAAAAAAATGGCTATGGTACCTTGTAGAGAGAGAAAGAGTTGAGCTTTCTATAGAGAGAGAAAGTTGTGTTGGATCTGCGAGTATGGGGTGTTGTGTTCCGGGATGGGCCGTGTTTATAGGCGAGGATCGAGTGGCCCTTTGGTCGTATTCTGGGCTAGATTCATTCACAGATGTGTGGTCAAGTAGATCGACGGCACACGTGATCTTTTGTGATTGATTCTCAGCCGTTGGATGCCCGTGTATTTTGCAGACGGCGATTTGCATCATCAGTCGGTGGACGAGAACGACGCGTTTACCGGCTATAGCCTGTAACCCAACTACCCAACCTGTCATCAGCTGGACCACTTTCGAGTCTTGTTACACTGTTCTAGTAGTAATAGGTGGCATTAAAGATTTATAACCATTAAAATATCATAATCCACTAATTAGATATGAGTTTTGAGTAAATAAGAAATACCTTCCATTTGTTTAAAATATAGTTGAGAATTTGAATTCCATATTCAAAGTTGCCATCAGATCTATGAAAAAGAATCGTTTCAATATATATTTTTTTTATAAGGGGTTAAAATCATAAAAACTCCTTTATTTCCAAAAACGTCATATAATCTTTTAATTATAGAACAAGTTTTTCAAAAATTATCATTTTGTTCCATTTTCATGACGGAACCATTAACTTGTTGTGAAATCACAATAATGTTGTTAATAGTATATTAATATTTTATTAAATTAAAATTATAGTGTGAGAAGGACAATTTCAACATTACGAATTATAAAGTTACTTTGGATAGAAAATAATGCAATTGTTGCATGTGATTTCATGTGATACGATCCCATTAGTTTTAGACATGAAACCAACTAGGTGAGGGTGATATGATAGACTTTTTTAAACATCAAAAATAATATGATAATTTCTTTAATTTAAGGAATTAGTTTATAATTTTTTAAAATAATGAATGATTTTATGATTTTAATCCTTTTATAAATAATAGATGCTTTTTAAGTTCTTAATTTTTAAGTGTTAATTATGAATTGAATCTTGTAATTGATTAAATTTCCAAGTGTTGAGTCTGAGCCTTAGCTTACTAAAAAGCTTTAGGAGAGAATTGTAACATCTAAGAAGTATATAATTCAAGACTAAGTACTAAATAGAGTGATCAAGTATAATTTTTTTAAATGGATGAATATGATTTAGCTAATATCATAAATTATTGGTCTAATTTATAAAAAAAATATTTTAATTTATAGTACTACCTCCGTTACAATAAAAAGTGTCCAATTTTAAAAACTGTGACTCATACAATTCTAAATGCACGATAATTTTTTTTTTTTTTTTCTTTGGGGGACGGAGGGAGTATTTAGTTTATAGCCATTGGCGGAGACACTTGGTGAACAATGGGGAAGCAACCCTCACTCAACTTTTATATTTTAATTTTTTACATGCATTTTTTTAGTAGTTGTAAACACCCATCTGGTCTAAATTTTTTATGACTTGTGTTCTTGTGGTTGGATTTTTTTTTATTTTTTATTTATTACCTTGGCAACAAATATACGCATACAATTACGTATTCTTATGAGAATTTGAACTCTCGACCTTCTATTTAGAAGGTGAATAATACCACTAAGCTGCATTTTTTTTTTTTTTTTTTTTGTCCTGGTTGGATTTCAAAACAAGAAAATTTTCAAGAATAATTATCCATTTGTTAAATGTATTAATCAGTATTTATGTTTTTTTTTTTTTACTAACATGCCAGTGATTTAGAGGTACCAGACCCCTGCTTTTCAAAAAGAGGTCAAGGGTTCATGCCTCATTGAAAGCGCGTGTGAGTACCAAAGTTTTTATTTTTTATATTCACTAATTTGATTTTTTTTATATAATTATTTTACTAGAATAAAATCCTAGCCCCACCATGGTTGATAGCTTGATGAAAAATTATTGGATCAGTCATGCTAGCTTAATGAAAATTGTAAACTTCAATGAGTCTTATAAAATAATTCCAAATGAAAAGAATATAAAATTATTAAATTAGACTATGGAGGACTCAAATAAAAAAGAAAGCAGTTATAATAAATAAAAAAGTTAAAATGAATATATTTGACTTCAAAATTTCAAATGTAACATTCCTCTCTTTGAAAATCATTTCATCTAGAAAAAATCTGCATTTGAAAAAAAAGAATAAAAAAAGAAAAGAATTGAATCTACATATAAGGTACTTCTACAACTTTGACAAGTAAGGTTGGAATAAGCTTTCAACCTACGGGATCTTGACTTTTAGGTCAAAATATCAAAAATTGGTTGGACCAGACTAAACTTGATGTGACTAATGTAAGAATCCCAAATCTTAAAGATCATTGTTTTTTTTTTGGTTTTGGTGGGAGGGTTGGTAAGTCATTTGGTATACATAGTTTTGATGGTAACATATACCAAACTACCAAGTTGAGGATAGAATTGAGAACGTAGTATCTTGTTGGGGTAGGTAGATTTGGCAAACATTATAGAAAATTGGAAAATAAGCATAGTCTACTAAGATTGAATTTTTTTGTTGATGATACCAAACAAAAATGGGGTGTTATCTACCTTGTACACTTTTTTCTGATTGTTTACAATTTTTCATCAAACCTCTCTTCCCAAGTCATGTGGGCATCACATTTTCATGAAAAAAAAAAAAAAAAAAAAAATGCATTCTTATAAAAATTGGACAAAGAATAACATTTCAATTTCTATTTAGACTCTGTTTGTTTGAATGTAAAAAAAAATTTAGATTTTTTTTTTCCCTTTTTCGATGTTAATTGTTGTAAAATATTTACAAAGAAAAAAAATAAAACCTAACAAAAATAGCTTACCCATCAATTTTTGACAATTTATTTTACACGCCCACTCCATGGACTCAACTTCAACATCGACCTAAACCTTTATTAAACACTAAAAAATAAAAATAAAAATATATATTTTACCTAAAAAAAAATAAAATTTATATCAAAACATACACAGCCTTAATGTGAAATAACCAATAAAAAGTTGATTCTAACTTTATAAACATGGATCGCAACTAGAGGGGAATCGTGTAACTATAGGGGAATCGTGTACTGCATGCAAAAACCATCTATATTTATTATATATCTATATATTTTTCAGGACATTAATGTGTTTCTATATTATTTTTTAATAATAAATTTATATGTTCCGTATATATGTTTCTTTTTAGAATAACACAAATTACTTATTTATTATCCTTTTTTATTTTAAAATTAACATAAAATGTTTAGAATAGTTTCTATAAAACTCAAATTACCTATTTAATATGAGTTTTTTTAATAAAAGGAAATCAAATTAAATAAGAATATATATATATATATATATATATATATATATATAAAAAGGAAATCAAATTAAATAAGAATATATATATATATATATATATATATATATATATATATAATTTAGTCTTTCTAATTAAACAAGGAAGTCTATATCTATATAATATTATTAAAAGTACAAAGCATTTTAGTACATTAATGTGTTTCCGTATATTAAAGTGTTTAAGTATATTATTTTTTAATAATAAATTTACATGTTCTGTATGCATGTTTCCTTTTAGAATAAAACAAATTACCTATTTATTATCTATTTTATTTTAAAATTAATAAAAGGTGTTTAGAAGAGTTTCTATAAAATTCAAATTACTTATTTATTATGAATTTTTTTAATAAAAGAAAATCTAATTAGATAAGAAAATATATAAAAAAAATATAATAAATTAGTATTTCTAATTAGACAAGGAAATATATATATAAAAAATATAAATAATTTAGTCTATTTAGTCTCCACATTTTTTCTAATTTTATAAATAATATATAAATAAATAAAATATTAGTAAATTGTAGTAATAAAAAATAGTCTGGATTTTGATATTAATTTTTACTTTGTTAAATATTAATAATAAATAAGATTTTACTCACGGTAGGTTTACTAGTGTGTATAAGAAAGGTGCAAAATCTTACAATTTTAATAATGTTCACTATTCCCTGTGCAAATGAATTATCTTTTGAATTTTGTAGTCTGTATTGGAAGCAAAATAAGAATTGTCAAGATCATTTGTATTATACATGGAACATTATTGGTCAGCTTTGAATCTTACATCCTTCAAAACAGCAAAAAAACAACATTGAACTTGGAATTATTAGGAGAAAATTAGGGTTTGCTAGAAGCAAAAATGAGACCTTCAGTCGGCTTCTAGCAGCTAGCACAGGGAGAAAGACCTCAAAACTTTTCAACCAATATATTCATCATAGTTGCGGCCGCCAGCCCCGCCACCTCAATTCCATATGGTAAGGTCAGTGGCATGGATTCTCTATTTCCATTTGTTTCTATTACACTACATTTCACCTATTGTGTTCAACTTTATTTTTAAAATCCGCTTTCATTTCTTTTTATTTTAGTTACCTTTATCATTCTTGAATACCCTCCAAAAAAAATTAGTCTTTTCGGTCTTATCGGCCCATCTACAAGTTTCCGTTATATGTGTTAAAACTGTTGGTAAAATATATGCTTAATGTGACTTTTAAGATATAACAACCTTTATACTAATATGTCATGAGATAATTAACAATATGCTAATAAATCATTAATTAAATATGCAACTCTATATTTAATTAAATATACAAAATAAAGCAATAAAATAATAATAATATGCAAGGAATGAACCTGGACCGAGGCTAGTATTGGATACTATGTCCTTAAGACAGATTCGCCCCGCTATGGTGCTAACGGACTCAGTGGCGTCTATCTCCCAGGATACAACGGTCTACATCCACCAGTAGCAGCACTACAAACTCATGGATACGGCGAACCTCCTCCGTGTAATACTCTCTCTGACTCAAAAATGCATCTATATACTATATAAATGCTGAATTGGGTGTAATCCGAACCAAATGGTTCGGACCAATCTTAATATAGCTCGATGAAATTGGATTAGGATCGAAGTGGCTCGAACCACTTAACCTAAGGTTTGAACCCACTTGGGTTGGGTTCTAGTCTAGCGAGGGAGATAGAAGAAAATGAAAATGAATAATTTGCAAATGATCCAAAGGGGGGTATTTATAGAAACAGAAATGCCTTTTCTGATTGGGTGCGTCTTTTCATCATTGGACACAACCATTACAATAGGTTGCAATGGTTCACATGGTGTCTATTCACCACTAGACACATCCATTCCAATAGGTTGCAATGGTTCACATGGTGTCTGTTCACCAATAGACACATCCATTCCAATAGGTTGCAATGT